AACTACACATTTGTCACTAGGATTCGACAATCTGCCCAATTTATCCAGGGGTTAGCAAACTTAAACTCCTAGATTTTAATTTTCTTGAAATTAATGTATGGTCATATTGCTCTGTAATGTGACATTTCTCAGTTTTGTTACAGTTTATGATTTTAAATTTGTATTTAAAAACAAAAGCTCATACCTGGGAAAGGCTTTCATAAGCTACAATTTTAATGCAATGGAAAATGCTTTATTGTATTCATAGGATTCCATGTAGAATGCATGGACAATGGATGTGATGTAAAAAAAATTCTCCAGATATTCCGGCTGGCTTCAACTGTCAGTAATAATATAACCCAGAACAAATGCTTCTTAATTTAGCTCATTCCAGAAGGAAATAGCCAATTCTTAACGTTGCTGTTGCCAGTAATAAATAGAATTTTTAAAAAATGGTCTCTAATATTGTACTTTGCATGTACATTCAAGGAATGTCTGTAAGCATACCTATATCTAAGAGTCATTGATTGGTTTAGACACTTGCGCTCTACACCTTTAGAGAAGATATGAGCAATTGTACAAGATCAGAGACCCTGATTATTGCCGAATGTAAACAAAGGAGATTTACATTCAAACAAGACATGTGCTTTGAGCAATTGCCATGACCTTATTATTTATTCAAGAAAAGAACACTTTCTAATCTAAAGATGTTGTATATAGCCCTGGCACATCCATTATTTTATAGGAAAAAATCTCTTGTGAGGTTGATCCAGGTGAGAAAGAATGAATGACCTAATACTGTTATTATCTAATAGCACCTGCAGGGGTATGTAACCAGTTTTGGCATTAAATGAGGTGAGGAAGAAGTGTTTAATTTTTCAGCTTCTGGCATGAATTATCAATAAATTGTTCCAGTTGGAAGAAATAAAGCAAACAACAAAAGAAGTTCCAGCTGAACCAAGTTGCAGTTGAGCCAAGTACCAGTTTTGATCCTTAAGATCAACTAGACAGCATCTTGCCTAGTTGATCTCAGTTAGAAAGTTAAACTGGTTAGTACTCTACGATGGACAGTATTTGGGAAATCAAGATTATAGAGTAGACTGGAAAGTCAGAATAGCAAACTATTTTAGCATATGCAGAACTAAATGGATATGCCCATATAACTCTCTAGGAATTTTGCTTGATTTGATAGTGATTTGTCAGCTAAACCTTCTGTGGATGTGAAATATATGTGTCAGTCTTGGGATTCCTTCCCAGATGCCTCTATAAATACTATGCAGTTACGTGTACACAATTATATATGTGTATAAAATTGATAGAGGATATGATAGACAATAGATAGATAGGTGATAGGGGATTGATGGATGGATGATAGATAGATAGATGATAGATAGATAGATAGATAGATAGATAGATAGATAGATAGATAGATAGATAGATAGATAGATAGATANGATAGATAGATAGATAGATAGATAGATAGATAGATAGATGATAGATAGATAGATAGATAGATGATGATAGATAGATAGATAGATAGATAGATAGATAGATAGATAGATAGATAGATAGATAGATAGATAGATAGATAGATAGATAGAATCTATCTAAGCATATTAACTTCGCTATATCTAATGAAGTTAATATGCTTAGAAAGAAATTTCCTAGCTTCATAAAGATACACATAGAAATTTAGGAATGACTATAAACCTTACATAATCTAGAATCGGCTATATCATATGTTATTATCTCTCTTTTTAAAAAGTACAGAACAAATCTCTAAATAACTTCTGTATAGTATGCAGAGTGTTGAATCAGGCAACCATATGCATTCATATGGAGCCTCTTAATGAAGCTTTACAAGGAAACTGCTTTGGTGTTTCATTCTTGTCAATAGTATTCAATTCAATTAAAATCATAGTAATATTTTATAGGTACTTCAGGTTATAGCATTGTCCTTTCTTTTTTTAAAGGAATACAATACTTGCTAAGAAGCCCATTTCCACCTTACAGCGTTACTATATTTACATTCACATGTGAGCTTTCCAGAATGTTTTAAATCAGATGTAAATTAGGCTACTTTATACTGGCTAACCTGAATTGGAAAATTTTGAATTAACATTGGAAAATATTCAATCCCCTCAAGCTATATTCTTCAAGTAAATACACTGATAAACATTCAGTCTTCTATAATCATGAAACAAACCAAAAAGGCCTAATCATTTATAACAAACAATTTCAAAATTTAAATATTTGACATGTTCGTTCCCTTATCTTGCTTAGAAATTAATGATTTCATTCATATAGTCGTTAAGAGTGAAAACTGAAAAAGGGCTAATTTTAAAAATGCCTAGTCTACCTAATATTATATTTTCAAATTTGCAATTTTTCACATTATTACTAATGAATGTACAAAAAGTAGAGAAATTAAACAGTGGAAAGTTTTCCACTCCACCTCACCGATTCAACCACAAGTATCAAACATCTGAATCAAGACCCAAGGAAAATCCTTTAATTAGACTCAAATTCTCATAAATATAAATATTAGAAATATTGTTCTATGTTACCATGGCTAAAGTTATACCATCAGAAGAAATGCAAGATGGTTTTATAATTTTAATTAAAGCAGAATTGGGATAAGCTTTGTTGAGTTTTTTCCCTTCCTTGATAGGTTCCAAGCCACAACAGAAGTTTGAAGGAAGAAAGAAACTGATTAAAAAGCAAACAAAAACACAATATAAGGGGGAAAGGGAGGGGGAATGCAAGTAAGAATGAAGAGGCAAAGACTAAAACAACTTTAAGAAGAAGATTGTTTTATTTTTTTAAAAAATAGAACATTCTGTAATTAGTAGAGGATGAATAAAAATGCTAGATATTAAGTATTCCCTAAGCTTCCTTTGGCATGTACTGTAGGTACCTCCCTGCATTTTCACAAATATAAAATTGTCTTAAATTCCTATATTAAGTCTAAATTGAATCCAGAGAGATTAAAGTCAGAGAGATTTCATGGATATTTTACTGACACAATCCAGCAAACCTTCAAATATTAATAGTTACAAGATATTTAAATATATATGTATATATAGTTAGAGAAATGCCAAACACTTGTGGGGGGTTTTGGCTGAAATCCTATGGACATTTTCTTTGTATTTGAATTAGATACAGTTTAATAGAATGATTAAAAAATGTAGTATTAGCAAATCATTTCAGTTTCAAATCTGCAAATATGTGATGAATCTAACATGCTTTCGACTCTCTTGAGTTTTAGAAAAGGTATTATTAAATTGATGTCTGAAGGAACAGGAAGGTAAATAGATTTCTCATTTCTGTTCTCAAAAAATAATTCACATTTGAATTGGTGGTCCACTTCATTTGTACAGAGATTTTTATTATTATTATTTAAAGGATATTTTTATAGTTAAAATTGAGGTTAACCCTCACTTGTTTCGCCTTCCAGAAACAAAGCCACTTCAGAACTGAGTAACAAGATACCGAGATGTAATCAATCTACTGTAACTGATTTTATAAATATAAATTTAGATAGTATTTGGATATTTTATTTTAAACTAACAAGATTCTGGTGTTTACAGTTGGTAAAAGGTGTCTCCATGGGTTTTACCCTACTAGCCGTGATCAACTTTAGAGGGTTGTGGCCATCTCCATTTTCAAGCCAAAGAGCCAGTGTTGTCTAGAGACATTTCTACTGTCATGTGGCCAGCATGACATCATGCCACAGCACAAAGCATATGGTGAAACATAGAATGCTATTACCTTCCTTCATGCTCATATGGGTCTATCATTTACAGAGTTATCTTAGCCTAACATTTTAAAGTCGCTATCAAGCTTTAGCCAATTTCTAGTGTAAATAAGAAACATCCAGAAATAGAAAATGCCAACAGTGTTTTATGCTCAGATACTTTTTTCCTAATAGTGAACTGAAGTTGGAAACCCAAGGAACCAGGAAGAGGTTAAATCTAAAATAAGCTACTAACCATTTAAATATGTTACAGGCAATCCCTAATATACAAGCACAATTAGGACTGGAATTTCAGTTGTAAAAGTCGATTAAGATGCAATTTTACTATTTTTTTTATCAAGTGAATCAAACGATTGTTATTTGAATCCAGCTTCCCAATGGGTACTTTTTGCCAGAAATTGGCAAAAAAAGGTTGCAAATTACAGCCACATGACTGCAGGAGTATAAACGAGAGCTGGTTGCCAAGCCCCTGAATTGCAATCATGTGATATGGGGGGCGGGGGTGTAATGCAATGACCGAAACTGCAAGTAAGTCATGTCACTTTTCCAAGGCTGTCATAAGAGTCGTAAATCAAGGACTACCTGTACATGAAGTTACATGGTGAAATCAATGGGAGTTATGCTAATATTATTACTTTCAGAGATTTGCTTTGAAAATTCTGCAAATACAAGATTGCACGATCTAATTAAATCAAAGTTGAAAATTATTTCCTTGGATTCATTCCACTAGCTATTAGACAACCCAATTTATCATTGGTTTTCCTTTATAGTATACTAAAATTATCTATAGATTTTCTTGCATAACCTCTCCATTTCAGGTGACTTCAATCATCCGTCTCTGATTTTACTCCCCCCCCCCAAAAAAAAATTCTCACTTTTCCAAGGACATCAGTAAAAGTAACAAGAGGAGCATCCATATGCCAGGGGAGCAGTGGTATTTCAAAAATTAATACATACACAGAACCAAAATCCACATAAATCAAAACTATCTAAAACAGAATTACAGAAGTTTCTAAAAGTAAGAAAGGGGAGGAAATGCAATAGCAGATTAAAACAAAACAAGTATATTGGTTTTGCGCAAGGAATAGATAAATATATCAATTTATACATTGTGTCATATGACATAATTGGAGAGTCTCTAAGAATCATATAACGTGTTGTAATAATTTACCAAAGTTTCAGTTTTACACACTCAATCATTTTCAAAATGAAGTCATAAGTGAGTGAATTTCAGACTTCAAAACATTAAGCAGAGAAAACTTACTTGAACATCTGTTCATGTCTGGGGCACGAAGACCATAGTACCCCAATGGGCAGGAATTCAAGCATTCCCCATATTGTCTCATTTCTTCTCTTCGTAGAAAGAAGAACAACTTATGTTGACATCTGATGCATCCATTATCTTTTGAGCAAAACAAACAACCTTTGCAAATTGGATTCGGCCCATAGTTTGCTATGTTTTTTTTTTCAGAGAGAGAAAAGGGAGGGGAAGAAAAATGATAATATTAAAGCATAATATTAACCATGTAAAGAATAAGCATACAGCATCATTCATGTTTTGTTTACGACAAACAACTAAAGAAAAATTGAGTAGACAGGGTGCATTTATTATTAAATATTTTATAAAAAATTATCTCATTGTTTTAATATAACATAAAAGCAACACATTGGAAAGGGTATTTAGGCTGTCAGAGCCAAGTTCCTGTTCAATTAAAGCATCCACAACAGAATTTTGTTTGGAATTATTTTGTTAAAACCTTCTTGCAAAATAAGTAGAAATATTATTCCCATGATGGATTTGTTAAGCCACCAAATTATTAGCCTTTTCTGTAGCAACCTTCTTATATTTGGCTTGTGTTCAACTATTGCTCCAAGGTGTTTTTTTTTTCTACATACAGAAGTCAAATGCCCCAATTCTTGATCTGTGCATTTGATTTCCAATTCCTTTGCACAAGTCATTCTCCTCCCCACTACTAAATTTCTTTCTCTTAAAACTTAACACAACTCTCTTGTTTTCAATTTTATTTTCATAAAATTATGAGCTATCGTAGTATCCTCTAAACACTGGCTAACCATTTCTTCTACTTTTCATTCACGTCATTAATAAAAATGTCCAAAAGTATAAAGCATTTCTATAAGCCAGTCACTATAAATTTTCACATACAACTAAGCCCACTTTTAACTTGCTTTGTTACAATAAAAAGTTTGTGTGTGTGTATTTGTGTGTGTGTGTGTGTGTGTTTGTAAACAGACGCACAAATAAAACATTTCTACCAAACATATACTATGAAAAGCTTTATACTTTTGGACATTTTTATTAATGAC